CAAAGAATATCTGGATTATTTACAAAAGCAGGATAAGAAAGAAGAAACCGACAAAATTGACGAGTCGGCAGAATCATCCGAATCTACTTTTGATCCATTCGGAGGACCATGCGGACAAGATCTAAACGACTTTTGAAAAAGAGGTCGATCACTTTTGAAAAAGATGTCGGCCACCAATAAAAAGAAGATGAAACTCAAATGAAGAAGAAATGAAATTCAAATGACAAAGTCCCGAGCCTCTATAAATTGAAGGAAGATTGCAGAATGAAGGCATCGGCGAATAGATCAGAGAAAAATTTCAGTTTACATCTTGAAGTACAAACCTCTTACCTACTCTCACTTACTTCAAACCTACTCTCACCTACTTCAAACAACTCCTGTATTCTAGCTATTGTCAAGCTTATTCAATAAAAGAACCAAGGATTTAACTTTGCTCAAAGCTTCCGTTGTCTACTCAATTTCATTGTAAGTCCAAATCTTTATGCTTATTACAAGTATATATTGCCTGGGTAGAAGTGGTATCAGAGCCACACCCTTTTATTTGCATACGCATATTTAAACTTTGTTATTACATCTCTTTATTTGAATTAAGTTTCTATTTAAATTGACTAGATTATGCATTTATGTCTACATATTTCATTAAACTTTTACTGAAAGCGTTGGTAAGACTTGATGCCTTGTAAGACCGTTGGTAAGTTCAGGATAGGATGTTCCAGGCATAGTGCTCGGTTGTTCCCGGTTAAGTAAAAATTTAATTAAATATTAAACATGGCTGCATTTCTTAGACAATTAAAGATAGGATCTAATTCAAAGCAAGATAATGTAGTACAAAGTCATGAATATTATATGCCTATAAATAATTCAGATTGGACTATTCCAGAAGAAAAAATAGAACACATTTACAGAATTGGCCCTTTAGATTTTAAAACTGCTTTATCAGTCAAAACACATGAAGAAACAATTTCTATTCAAGAAGAATATCAATCTATTCAATTATTAAATCATAGTACAATTCAAAAATATTTAAGTAAAGGATATCGATATATTCATATAGGTTTAATACAAATTGCAGTAAAACCTTTATTCCATCTAGGAGTTGATGCTCCAATATATTTAGCATTAAGAGATACTAGATTAAAACGATATAAAACTTCTTTACTATCTATGATTCAAACAAATGTTTGTAATGGACCAATATATTTTAACTGTGCTCCAAATTTTTCAATAGATTTAACAGACCCACATATTCTAAATTCAGTCATATTAGATATTCATATGCAAGGAAATGAATTTGAAAAACATACAAAGAATTTTGCAATAATATATAGAATATATTATAGACCTCTATCTTCACATTTAAATCCTAAATTTATAATGACTCCAACTCTTAAAGAAGAAACAACTTTATTACAAGTAGATGCAGATAAACCTACTACTTATACACCAAAGAGATTAAAGTGGAATGAAATAACTATACCTAGTGAATTTGAAATTAAAAATCCACAAATAGCAAGAAATATAGAACAAACTAATGCAGAAGATATTATAGAAAAATCAGATGGAAGTACTTTAATAAGATTTTCATCATTAAGAGAAAGACCAGAATCATCATATTCATGGTTACCAGCTAGACATTCAAATTATGAGTCAACTGAAGTTAATTTTCCTATGGAAAGTACCTCAAATTTTAAATATAAAACACCTATACCAGAAGTTATAAATCAAAATCAATCAGATTATTCCCCAACTCATTCACAAATGAAAGGAGAAATAAATGCTATAAATAAACCATACAAAATAAATCATAAATATTTACAAGAAGAATTTGAAGATGAAGAAAATACAGAAAAAAGAATTTGGTTTTTTCAATTAGAATCAGAATATAAAGAAAAATTAATTCTAGAATGGAAAAATGAATTGGATAAACAAAAGTTTGATTTTCCTTTCTTTACTTGGTTATCATTCTATACTTCAAAATTAGGAATTAATGATGTTTATAATACACCACAAATAAATGTTCAAACTAATCTATATAAAAAATGGAAATTAAAAGATGAACAAGTTATAACTTCAATACACCCTCCATTACAAGAAGTAAAAATTAATATAGGACAAGGAGAAATTATAGCCTCACCTTTTAAGAAGGGAAGAGAAGCAGAATCAAGTACAAATAGTTCAATAAATTTAGAAGATCTTAAAAAAGTTTATCAACAGAATAATTATACAAATCAAATTCTTCACACAATTTCACAACATATGGAAGTATTAAATACAAAAATAGATACATTAAAGAAACCAGATTTAAAATTCCCAAATGATATTTCAGCACCTCATTTTCAACCTAGAAGCCTGACAAGAGAAAAGGAACAAGATTTAGTACAAAATGTTAATAATCAAAAAATAAATAATACAGATAATTTATTAAATAAAATATCTCAAGCGCTACAAAACTTAACCACAGAATCCAAACCTTCAACTCCAAGAATAAATACCTTAGATAAAATAATAGAGGAAAACTCAACTGAAGAAATAGAAGATTTATCTGAAAAATCAATAGAATCAAGTACAGAAGAAGAAGATATAATTTTACCAATAGAAAACCAATTTGAAGAAATAGAAGGAAATCAAATAAATAGAATAAAAAGGAAAAATTGTAATAACAAAAGAAATAACTGGAAAATGATAAGTTCAAAAAATTATTATCCTAGACCTAGTCCTCCAGATATTCAATATGAAGAAAGATCAAAATTTAGAACTACTAAATATGATGGAGATTCAATTTATGAATGGAATATAGATGGCAAAGCTGAATATGAAGTATTAAATAATTTACAAGAAATGGGAATGGCTAGACTAGCTTATAAAATTAAAAATATTCAAGAAAGAAATATTGCAACATTATTAGTTTCAGGATTTACTGGACAATTAAAAAATTGGTGGGATAATGCATTAACTTTACAAGATAAATTATCAATACTAGATCATACACAAGAAATTGAAGATGATCAAGGAAATATTCAAATACAGTCAGATGCGGCAGAATTTCTAATTGTAACAATAGTAATGTATTTTATAGGAAATTCAAAAGAAGAATTGAATTCTAATAAAACATTTTTAACAAATTTAAGATGTCCAACATTATGAGTGTAAGTATAGGCACTTTTTTATCTTAATTTTTGTTATTCCTAAATTACCCTCATGTCTTTTAATTAGAATTATTGCATTTTAATGTGGCACTAATTAAAAGAAATAAAACACTCCAATCGATTACATCTTAATACTATTGGTAATTATAATTAAAAATTGCTCATTAAAAACTATTTATCTACTCTTGGACTCTATCTCCAATTATTATACATATCAAAATTTTTTAATTGAAGCATGAAAAATTTCTCATTAGTAAGTAGTTGAGATTGTAAAAAAAATTAATTTCAAGAAATAGATACTCTCTAGAAAATAGAGAAACATACAAGGAGAAGAGAATCCTTATTCATATGCATATCTTTATGCAAATATCATGAGTATTTACAATTATGCACTTTTTACCAATATGAAGAATTTTTTATGTTGCACCCAATGGAATTTCAATATACAAAAAATGATGATACCTTTATAACTAAAATAGCAATATTAAACTGAAAAAAAAATCTGAAAGAGCACCATACAAACCACTATTATCATTAATAGCAACCGATCAAAACAAGAAATTTTGAAAAAAATTGAAAACTATTATAAAATGACGTAAAGTAAATAACAAATGAATTAAAAAGGTAGAATATAATAATATCAAAGACAACATCCAAATTATTGATATCCAGGGGAAGACAAACATTATTATCGACAATAATATAGTAATGCTTCATTTGTATTAGTTTGAACAAACCAAATTCATCCATCAAGTCAGAAGCCATCTCCAGGGATAAAATAAGAATCATAATAAGAGTAAATTTAAAATGAAGAATGATAAAATGAAAATGATCATATCCAAATTGTTTTTGGTGATGTCCAAAATACCCTTATCTTTCTAATGATTACATATATTTATTGTATTGTAATATTAGGAATAATGGAAATGGTTATGAAATGAAATTTTTTAAATTAAGTAAATTTCATTTATGGTGACAATTGTCATTAGACAGATTTAGTGCATTCCAATAATTGATCATAATGATAGTGGCTATGGATTAAAAGTTGGAAATTAAAAAATAAAACACTGCAGTAGACAAAAAATTAATATTAAAATTGTTAATTAGCCACAATTCTCGTTCCAATTCCGTGATCATCAAAAAAGCTGATACTGAAACCAAAAATATTGTGCTCATATGAAAAAAGTATACTTTTTGCTTTTGCTTTGCATTGGATATTTTGCAAATAATATGAATAAAAGAAAAGAAAAATAGAAAAACTCCAACTATCTCTATCTATAAAATTTTAATTGTCAGAATGTGCAAGCCAAAAAAACTTTACGTGGTGGATCATTTATACCCTATTATTGGCAGAAATAAAATTAACATAATACAAAGAAATGAAAGAATTCAAATTATATGTATGTTTATTTTTCTAACTTAATTATATTGTTCGTTTATAAAAAAAATTGTGATGATTATGGTTTATATGCAATAGAATCATAAATATACAATAATTTTGGTAAAAATGATATTATCAATAGTTGATATGTTAGAGCTCAAGCTATAAATCAAAAAGTGTTTGCTTCATGATTCCAAATTCAATCCTCAGGACAACTACATTAGAATGTTTTCTGTCTCTTTTCATTTAATAAAATTTTTAAAAGTAACTAGTTTTAAAAAAAATAGCATAAAAATACTATATTATGATGCTGATGATCAAATTTTCAAAAAAAAAATTTAGTATCTAAAGAATAATATACTAGTAAAAAAATTTTTACCAGTATCTAAAAATGAAACTATACTAGTATCTAAAAAATTTTTGCACGTGAACTATTACTAGTAAAAATGAAAATTACTGGAGAATAAATTTTTCTACACCTAAACACAAAACCATAAAATCAGCTCGCAATTCTTGAATGAATAAGCGAGCATACTTACTGTAAATGGGCTGCATGGACTAGGCATGCTTGCAACACATTGCACTCAAGACTTTTTTATTACCTGAAATAATTCTTCAAAATTTCTTGTCGAACTTCCATTTGGTTTAACAGCATCCGAGGCTTTTGCTCTAAGCTCTTGAACATTCTCTCTGATTGTTTTACCCTTGTCACTGGACAAAATATGTTGTATGGCATTGATTGTTCCATTCTTGGTAAATACCCCTCCTTCAATTTTCAAACCAATTCTCCATCCATCTTGTACCTTCCAACTGTTCAATTTTTGATCACCAAAATATGGCCTACATATCATAGGCACCCCATGTGAAATACTCTCCAGAATAGAATTCCAGCCACAATGTGTTACAAATACGCCAATTGCAGAATGTGCCAAGACTTGCACCTGAGGAGCCCATGCAACAAATTTACCATGACTCTTGCTTGCTCGATCGATAAATCCATCTGGCAAAAGCTTCCTAGCATGGTCCCTCAATGACCACAGAAATGGGAACCTTAATAGCTTCCAGAGCCTCAGCTAAAGCTACCATTTCATCAAGGGGCGGACTCATTACCGTGCCAAAGCTAATGTACACGACTGATGCAGAGTCTTGCTTGTCCAACCACGATAGGCATTCATCATTCTCATCAGTTGAAGTCGATTTTTTTGAGGTTGAAATTAAGGGTGAAGAGCTAACGTTGAGGAATTTTTTGAACTTGGACTTGGGATCAGTTGTGATGGCTGGATCTATCTCTTCGAAGGAGTTGATCACAACAGCAGTTGCTCGCTGAAGATTCAATGCCATGTTGTAGACCATATGAGCCAATGGTGATTCTTGATTATCCATGAGAACTTCGTTGGGCAAGTCATTGATCTATATTCCTTGCAATCCGGGAATCAACTCAAGAGTCTGGTCTCTTTCCTCGGCAATTTGGTTGAACATAGACAAAGCAATGTTGTGAATTGCATACATTTCATTTTTGTTGAACAAGGTGCGATAAATTCATGAGACAAAATATACCCCAAGTCAAATTAAACACGATTTATGCATTTTTTTCTTGCTTTGCCATAGGGCTTTCAAATGGAACAAAGGAATTGTTTTTTACAAAAACAGTGTCAACCATATTAGATTTCAGATGTTATATGTTACACACTATGGCGATAGTTAATAAATTTCCCAATTGTTGTATGGCTATTCTTCCCCATCTTACTTATTGTTCCCACAAAATGTAAAGATGGAGCAAATTGGATGCTTGATTATGGTTTCGCTGCTTATATTTACTAAAAAGAATTTTAAAATTTTTAGTTTCTGTTGATCTTAAAGAATGTTGACGAAGTGGCAAAAAACTTTCGTAGTACCGGCTAAGTCAACTGGAGGAGTTTTTTCTAGGCAAAAAAGAATAAACAGGGCAAGAGTTACACCAATAGTAGAATTCTACCAATGCTTAAAAGAAGAAATCCTCTGTGGAAAAGTAATAACACAAAGAACTCTAAAAAACATGGCATATGCTGACTGATAACAAACATTAGATTTGCGATGGAATGAATGCATGCTAACCTAGGTTTTGAAAAATAAAATAAAAAATCATGTGTATATACTGACCTAATTTGACAGGAGGGTTGAGAAATGCAAAATATCTTATGGAGAAAATGACAAAAACATGAAAAATCTGAAGTATGTTTATCCAATTCCCTATACTTTGGTTCTGATTGTCAAAAGTGACTCTGTAGTATGTAGGGCTTAGAAAATTTATCTTTCTAACGAAGTAAATGCTATGTATTTTGAGTTGATTCTCAGGTTATGAGAATGCAAAAAATAACCACGTTTTATTCAATTGAGTTGAGATCATATATTTTACCCAACTTTCCCACTTAGGAGAAAGCTTCTTCAATCCGAGGATGACAGGTATAATTCCGTCCAGAGGGTGGAGGGGGCTGCATGCATGATTTCAGTACATTTTGAAAGCACTATCTGGCCCTTTTACACTTTAGGTTTATTTGCTCTGCTTTATCTCTTGTTTCTCCGGATAACATGATTGTCCATAACTGAAAAAGGGAAGCTATTAGTCAGATATCTCTCTAAAACTAACTGGATTGACAAAGTCGGCTGCAAGATACTGCTCTTCATGTCCAATTTGTAAGGTACAGAGGTTTTGCCTGTCCTGATTCTCTAAACGTGTGACAATCTACTGATTGAAGTGATTTAAGAATTCACAAAAATTCCCATTTTTTACATTCATCAAATATGTAAATATAATGTACGTCTTTGAAACTTCCGCAAGCAAACATTGTCTTTTTTTTTTTAATGTTAAGAAAATGAAAAGCATGAGACTGGAACGAAAATCTGTCCAAATCCTGCAATGCAAGCCCATTATTTCCTCAAAACACTTCGCGATATTTGTTCCCCACCACCAAAAAAATGAAAAAAAAAATCCCCCAAAGAAGAAAGAAGAAGTTGATTTTTACAAAAATCCTTTGGAAGTCGATGTTCTTTGGTAGTCTGTAAACCTTTTTTCTTTCTTTGGGTGCTGTCCTTTCCTCGTGTTATAAATTCTTGATTTACGTCCTCGAGAATTTTGAAGAATAACCTTGAAGAAAATAAAGATTTTGTTCCCCAAGTTGGCCTGGGTTCCTTTCACAAGTCACAACCCCACAAGGAAATACACAAGCAAAAGGAAAGATCGTATACAGAATCAGCCGTCTAGTCTCCCAAAGCTATCGGGTGAGGGATAGAAGATATAGTCTGGTTTTATGCATTCTTATCTGTTCAATTGATGGATCTTTCTGGCTTATCCCTTTACCCTAACATTCTACTTGAGAGTAGCATTAAGTTTTATGTTCCAATCTCCAATAATACAAGATTAATCATTTTATTAGTACAGCAGTATATACAAACTTCATCACCAGCAATTATTGAAGATGGACATAGCTAGAGCAATCCCCGGAATTAAACACAACATCTTAGCAGAAACTATTGTACGAAAAACTTTAATACATGTCCCTCAATTTCCTAAACGAAAACTCCCGGACTCCCCACCAACTTCCTTACCTTCATAGCTCAAGGGTTTAGTCAATTGGTGATCATCTCTACCAAAATTTCGAAATTCTTAGTAGATCTCCCATTTGGTCCTACAGCCTTCAGAGCAAGCTCTTTGTAGGTTAAAATGTGTTCCTTCAACTTCTTCCCTTTTGCACTTGACAAAACTAGTTCAAGAGCTAGAGCTGTTGCATCTTTTGTAAACGAACCACCTTCGATTCTCACCCCGATTTTCCAAATCTTTTCCACCATCCAAGAATTCAACTGATGATCACCAAAAAATGGCCTACAAATAATTGGAACACCAGCAGCTATACTTTCCACCACTGAATTCCATCCAGAGTGATTTACAAAAGCTCCAATGGAATGATGAGCTAAAACTTGCACCTGAGGAGCCCATGGTACAATTTTCCCAATGACATTTGTCCTTTCCAAGAATCCATCTGGCAAATTGGACTTAAAATTGTCCTTAAGCGACCAAAGAAATGGAGTATTACTTGCTTCTAATGCTTCAGCCAATGCTTTTAGCTCGTGGGCCGGAGGAGTTGCCATTGTTCCAAAGCCAATGTATACGACAGATCCTAGTTTTTGCTTGTCTAGCCATGGAATGCAGCCGTGCACGTCCGAGATATTAGCCAATGGAGGTGGAGATGTCAAGTTGAAGGGGCCAACATTGAGGACATTCTTGAACTTGGATTTTAGATCTTCAATGACTGGGGGGTCTAATTCTTCGAAGGAGTTAATTGGCAAAGCATTTGCTCGGGGTAGGGTTTGTCCCATCTTATAGAGCATGACTGAGAATGGGGATTCCATGTCCCCACAGACTACTCCACTAGGCAAATCGCCAAGCCGAACTTCAGAAAATCCAGGAATGAATTTAACAAGTTCATCTTCACGTCCAGCTATGCCTAAAAGATCATAACGAGGCATAGAATGTCACCCTCTATTACAACTCTTACGTCACAAGCAGCTGAAAACACAACAAAATAGATTTTTCAAATCACAATCTAAAATCATATCTTAAAATCAGTTGAGACTAAGCCCTTTATCAAAATTCATTTCTAGTCAAACTAAGATCATTTTGCGATGAAAGAACTAATCTGTTATGATTTTCCAAGTTGACAAATTTCCACCATGTATTTGAATTTGTGGTAACATTTTTTTTTTTCACACTACAAAGGGTACGGTGGCTTAGAACCCTAAACACATAGTAATTCAGTAATTGGACGTCATCTTAATTCAGTAAGTAACACAAACAACTTTAAGCCGAGTATCGAGACTGCAAAAAGGAAAAGAAAAGGGATAAAAAGAATGACACTTTTTGTCTTTTCTAGGACTTTTATTCGGGAAATGATAGAGGAATTTCCAAGAAAAGAGATATAATTGAGTAGTTAATGAAAATCCTTTTCAGCCAGGTGCAACCAAAAATGGAGAGACAATGAAATACTACAGGTTAAAAGCAAATTTATGACCTCACATCTGTTGAGATATAAAGAAGAAAAACACTCGATGAAAAGAATTCTTTCTTTTTTCACCCAAAAGTATTAGAAAAGATATTAATAGATATCAGCAATTGTCCAGTCGTGACAAAAGGAGATAATTTGATCAAGTCTTTTCTATTGTCACGGGTACCATCTACTCTTTTCACTCAGAACACCCAAACAGGGTCCAAAAGGAGATAATTTTGTGATTTTCTTGTCAAGTAAGATAAAAATATGCATCGAAAACTAACAAAAAGTATTGATTGATATACAAAACTGAGCCTATTGAAATATTTAGGTAATGAAATGGGGATTTATGAACTAGGTATGACTCGTAACAATTTTGATCGGCTTAATTTTGTCGTTTTCTTGTCAAGTTAGATAAGATGTGCATCAAAAACTAACAAAAGATGACGGTGATAGTTGACTGCAAGAAAAGAACAATCATCAAATATGTCACCCATTTTGATTACTTTTACGTTGTTTGTCTTTCGCAACATTGAGAAAAAACACCATTAAGACAATGCAAGTACAAGACCGACCTAATTAACCATTAACCAGGTGGCAACCATAGATTATCAAACTAAGATGCCGAGCAGAGGTCGATTGATCAGTTTTCGTGTTCTAACCTTCTGCTACCATTAATTAACCTTCTAGAGTCTTGAATAACATAATTAATTAATTGCTAGGTACGTTTACTGATGAACTGATTGATCATGCTCATAATCCATGCTCATAATCATAATGACCAAGGAAATACACAGAGTAATTAAAAGAATGGTACCATCTCCAGTGCCAAGAGTTTGCCTGATGAGTTCCGTGTAGAAATGAATGGACAGAGACCCTGCTGCAGATGTCCAAACGGGCACCCAAGAAACCCCCTTTTTCTCCGCGATCTCACAGGAAAACCAGAGAAAAGCATCCGCTACCACGCAGCTGACCCTCCTTCTAGTATCCCTTTCAGCTGCCTCCATAGCTCTCCTAAAATTCTCCGGTGCCACTTTCAAGAAAAGATCAATATCCTCCATTGGCCTGCCAGCGAAAACATAGCCATCAGGCACCCCATTCGGGACATCATAGGCCTTAACGTTATCATCACCAATGTTTGATGATGATGAGAATAGGGAAGCATTGGATTTGGCTGTGCTGAAAAAGGAAAACGTTACATTTGGGGCAGCTTTTGCTAGCCTACTTATGAGTCCTAGGAGAAGGCCTGCATGAGTCGCAAAGGGGAATGCAAGAACCGCAACATGTTTTTGGCTTGAGGAACTTATGTTAGTCATTTTCCAAGGGCAGTGATAATTTTTGCTCGCAGTCTATAGGCTTGAGCAATTATGCGTCGAATGTAGCAGAGATTAGAGTTACGTATATAGCGGTACGAAGGTAGAATTTCTTCCACACCTTTTTCCTACTCTTGCTCTTTATGACCACAATTAGAATAAAAAATTATTCATGCAATTTAACTTGTAGTGATTAATTTTGGTCTTAGTAGCTAATTGTTAATGTTTGTACAATGTAGTGATCTGCACACATATTATTATTGTGTTTCAGAAAAAACCACTTTTATACAGCAAGTCTTTTCTTTCAACATTAAAAGGGCGTACGTCATTTTTCCCTTTCATATAAATTAAAGGAGGGTAGATAGGCAATTCAAAAGCTTATTATGCATGAGTAGCCTAGTAGTTGAAGATTTTAAGGAGGTTTGCTCTTTCATATTCGGGTTGAGTAAGTTTGAAGAGAGGTTGGTAGGAGGAAACGCCATGCGCTAGACACGTTGCTGAGGCTTCAACCCCTAATCCGAAATTCCAATCAATGAGAAACATCATCTGCAGGGTTTGCAAATGCACTTCATCCACCCACTTTCCAGTCAGAAGTTCCAATCAAGAGTTCAATCAATGCTTATGGTGTTGTTTTGGACATTGCCGCACCCGGGCCTGCCTTTCAATGATTTCTATTAGGCCGATTGCATATCAATTCTTTTTTTCTTTTTTTTCCAATTCCCAAATCCCAACTGTTAACTTCTAACTGCTTATTTAGACCCCAAAAAAAATTCTAGTTGCTTATAAAGTCTAAAGAATTTGAGACCATATTAATCACCTCAATTACATTGCTTCTTCAGTCCTTACTATATGGTAGAAGGAGAGGCTTTAATAAAAATGAAAATTACTGGAGAATAAATTTTCCTACACCTAAACAAAAAACCATAAAATAAGCTCGCAATTCTTGAATGAATAAGTGAGCATACTTACTGTAAATGGGCTACATGGAGTAGGCGTGCTTGCAACACATTGCACTCAAGACTTTGTTACTACCTCAAATAATTCTTCAAAATTTCTTGTCGAACTACCATTTGGTTTAACAGGATCCGAGGCTTTTGCTCTAAGCTCTTGAACATTCTCTCTGATTGTTTTACCCTTGTCACTGGACAAAATATGTTGTATGGCACTGATTGTTCCATTCTTGGTAAATACGCCTCCTTCAATTTTCAAACCAATTCTCCATCCATCTTGTACCTTCCAACTGTTCAATTTTTGATCGCCAAAATATGGCCTACATATCATAGGCACCCCATGTGAAATACTCTCCAGAATAGAATTCCAGCCACAATGTGTTACAAATACTCCAATTGCAGAATGTGCCAAGACTAGCACCTGAGGAGCCCATGCAACAAATTTACCATGACTCTTGCTTGCTCGATCGATAAATCCATCTGGCAAAAGCTTCCTAGCATGGTCCCTCAATGACCACAGAAATGAAACCTTAATAGCTTCCAGAGCCTCAGCTAAAGCTACCATTTCATCAAGGGGCGGACTCATTACCGTGCCAAAGCTAATGTACACGACTGATGCAGAGTCTTGCTTGTCCAACCACGATAGGCATTCATCATTCTCATCAGTTGAAGTCGATTTTTTTGAGGTTGAAATTAAGGGTGAAGAGCCAACGTTGAGGAATTTTTTTGAACTTGGACTTGCGATCAGTTGTGATGGCTGGATCTATCTCTTCGAAGGAGTTGATCACAACAGCAGTTGCTCGCTGAAGATTCAATGCCATGTTGTAGACCATATGAGCCAATGGTGATTCTTGATTATCCATGAGAACTTCGTTGGGCAAGTCATTGATCTTTATTCCTTGCAATCCGGGGATCAACTCAAGAGTCTGGTCTCTTTCCTCTGCATTTTGGTTGAACATAGACAAAGTAATGTTGTGAATTGCATACATTTCATTTTTGTTGAACAAGGTACGATAAATTCATGAGACAAAATATACCCCAAGTCAAATTAAACACGATTTATGCATTTTTTTCTTGCTTTGCCATAGGGCTTTCAAATGGAACAAAGGAATTGTTTTTTACAAAAACAGTGTCAGCCATATTAGCTTTCAGACTTTATAAGTTACACATTATGGCGATAGTTAATAAATTTCCCAATTATTGTGTGGCTATTCTTCCCCATCTTACTTATTGTTCCCACAAAATGTAAAGATGGAGCAAATTGGATGCTAATTATGGTTTTGCTGCTTATATTTACTAAAAAGAATTTTAAAATTTTTAGTTTCGGTTGATCTTAAAGAATGATGACGAAGTGGCAAAAATTTCGTAGTAGCGACTAAATCAATTGGAGGAGTTTTTCCTAGGCAAAAAGAATGAACAGGGCAAGAGTTACACCAATGGTAGAATTCTACCGATGCTTAAAAGAAGAAATCCTCTGTGGAAAAGTAATAACACAAGGAACTCTAAAAAATTTAGTTAAGTACTAAAATCTTTTTAAGGGACACGGCAAGGAGTCAAAAGTAAAATTCTACAAAATTATATTGGCTAAAATGAATTTTCTGAAAAGTTAAGGGGCGACAGCCCCCATGGGTAGGACACCCTGCCTAGGGCTGCAAACGAATCGAGCCACTCGCAAACGAATCGAGCCGCTCAAGCTCGAGTCGAGCTCGATATTAATCGAGCTCGAGCTCGAACTCGAACTCAGAATATTAAGCTCGTTAGCTCGCGAGTCGGCTCGCGAGCTTGAGTATATATATATATATATATATATATATTTTTTATTTATTAATAAAATTACGTATATTATATTTTTATTTTTTTATTTTTTATTTTCATAGTAAAATTACGTATATATCCTTAATATTTTATTATTTATTAAGAAAAAAATATTATTTTATTTATTTTTTAAAAAATAAAATAATTATTTTTTAATTTTTTTCGAGCTCGAGCTCGAGTTCGAGCTCGGCTCGACTTGATTCGAGTCGAGCTCGAGCTTGAAAATTGCCGGCTCGTCGAGCTCGAGCTCGAGCTCGAGTTTGGTAAAATTTAGTCGAGACTCGGCTCGATTAGCTCAAAGTTCGACTCGACTCGGCTCGTTTGCGGCCCTCCCTGCCTGCCGCTGGATGATACATACCAAAATAAGCACATAATCCGTTTTGTTGGTTTATTTGGTACAGTTGATTGCAGTTATTTAAAAGACAAAAAAAAAAAAAAGAGTTTCTTGTGACAAAAATAGCTCTTTGACGGCTATTCTAAGCTGGTGTTGTGAAGAATGAAGATAGCTCAAGTATAAATTTTCTAAAGATAAATTAAGATGCCAATGTAAAAGACTTGTTCTGTTGTTTTTCCTAGATTTTTTTTTTTACTAAAGACAATTATATAGAGACTAGAGGGTACCAGTTGCAGCAAGTAGGTGTCTAATCTCATCCGTGTACAAATGAGCAGATAAAGAGCAAGATGCAGCAGTCCAAAATGGTACCCAAGGCACACCAATTTGCTCTGCTAGATCACAGGCAAACCAAAGGAAAGCATCAGTCAATAAGCAGCTAATTTTGATACCAACATCCTCCTCTGCCTCCTTCACAGCCTTGACAAAATTATCAGGTGTTGCCTTAATGAAAAGCCTCATGGCTTCCAAATGCTTATTTCCAGTTAAAACATGGCCGTCAGGGATGCCATCCCAGACGTTGTAAGGCTTAATATTATCAAACTCAAATGGTTTCGAACCCGAAAAGATTGAGTTGTTGGATTCAGAGGTGCCAAAGAATGAAAACTTCACATGCGGTGCCAAGGCAGCAAGTCCACGTACAAGATGGAGCAGCGGAGCAGCATGTGTTCCAAAAGGAAATGTAAATACAGCGACACGGGATGATGAAGTAAACATGCTTCTTTGTTTTATCAGAAGTGTAGCAAATGGTAGGAATCTTAGGCTTCCCCTGAACTTGAACGGTATAAATAGTAGATTTTCCTCCCCTCGAACATTGGAGTGAAGGAGCAAGTAATAGACTAATAGTTAAGGATCGTTCGGTGATGGAGACAGTACGACTGTTTCCATATGGTGAAAGGGGTCGTTCAGTTCTGTCCACTTCAAACAGGTTCATATTATTTTTTGTAACTTTTGATGGAACTCGTATAATTTGAGTGTAAATTTGAATTTATCAACTCATACAGTAGTTAAATTGGTGATTACACTAAAATTGTACTAATTTATACCAAATGTCATAAAAATTACACGAACCGATTTCAATTATAGACAATAATCAACTCGTGAGGCTCTTGATCCAAAAAGGTAATTGCGTAGACGATAGATGAACAATTTAATAGTAGTGAAATTAATAAGATATGGCCCATATGGAGATTTAGAACTGTTGTAACCATCCGGTAAGTATGGAAACGTGAAAAGAATATGAAGTACACCATAAAAGTAACAATAAAAAGTCACACCGTATTAGGTTGGCATCTTCTCCATATTTATCCACCCAATTTTTCATATTAGTAAGAGGATGCGGTTCGGTTGTTGCAACGCATCGGCTACCAGTCTACCATATATGGTACCCGTCAATCAAGAAAGCACTGAAAATCAATTGAAGAAAGAGGCAACAGCTTTTCTTTATTTCCGCGGCTGGAGAAAACTTGCACGCAGAAAAACAGAGGCTATACAATTTACACACCAAGAGAGCCCCGTCCTGAACGAAACCCGTGATGATACAACTCAAGCAAAAGGCCATAATCATGTCCAAACTACCAACTAAAAGGCTAAAACAAATCACGGAACCTACCAACTAAAAAACCAGAAACAACACACCTGTCAAGCTAATATTAACTGTAAGTGCTTGGGTCATAAGTCGAGCTGTAGAATATTCAAACCAAAGTTTTTTCTATTTGGGTTGCATGTATAAGTTTTGTCATTTAATTGGTTCAAAGAGTTGCATGCTTTAGTACTTTTTATAGTTTAAAAATTAATGCCAAATTGAAGATTGGTCCAAATGCTTAGCTATGCGTGCCAAAAAGGAAATGTAAACACCTCAATATGGGATGGTGAAGTAGAAATGGATTTTTCTTTTTTCTTTTCAATTTTATCAGTAGCTTAGGAAATGGCAGAATGTTTGTTGCAATGCATCAACTACCAGTCTACCAGTCAGTCACTTGGCTGGGCTTTGGCTACAAATCAAATAATCCACCGCCAGAACTTTCTTTGATTTTGAGGATGCGAAGCCGATTTGGTGCTTTTGATTTTTTTTCAAAGCTTCAATCCGTTTTCTGCAATACCCTATTTGATTTGGACTCACTCATCATGATTTGAGTTGGATAGTTCAAGTGCCTTGAGTTCTGTTTGAAACTAGTTTTTATTTGTTTTCCTAAATATTTTAAGTACGGGTGAGGGATTCAAATAGTAGGATACCATGCTTTTTGAGTAGAGGTGGCAATTTGTCCCAAGTCCCAATGGGTTACCCATGCCCATGGGGACTTTGGGCGGGATGGGTACTAAAATTTGATATTGGGTTTAAAATGGGACAAATCCCAATTGTACCCATTAATTGATGGGAAATACTTGGGAAATACTTGGGTACCCATTGGGCTCAAATAACAAGGGCTCCGTTTGGATTAGCTATTTTTAGGGGGTATTTTTGAAATATTTTATTGTACTAGTGTATATGAAAATTTTTTACTATAAATTTTTTTTGAAATATTTGATATACTAATATGGATGGGATGTTTTTTGAGTTATTGTATATTACTGTAATATTGTATTTGAAAAACTTATTTTTTGAAAAAATAGCCAATCCAAACGGAGTCTTAGATTCAAAAATTATCTTTAACAATTTTTATAGTCCTTTATTTGTTAATCCAATTTTTGGTGGGAATCCTAAGTATAAAGCATTTGTATGTTTATTTAATAAAACTAAAAGAAATTTAATAAATCAAAAATATTAAAATTATATAGAAAATAAAAAATGAATTAAAGGAAAAAAAATATGCAGAAAATAGATTTGGATATTGGGCGGGATCAATCTAAACCCATCCCAAAGCGATCCCGCCCAAGTTAGTCCCAAAACACATATGGGTAAGGTTGGACCCAAACCCATATGACTCGGTTTTATCTCAAACCCAAGCAAATCCCGCCCATCCCGCCCATTTTGCCCCCTCTATTTTTGAGTCTTGGTTAATATCTTCACTAACTCAAAATTGAGGTGATTGGATCAGAAATTTAACTATCAGAAAGCTAAAACCAGAGGCCCTTTGGGGAAGTGATGGCGATAGAACCTTAGAACACGATAGATGGTCTTGATAAATGTGCGTCCATATGATGAAGACGTGTGCCCATTTTATTATTGGCTTCCAGCCCGTGCACGAGAAGAGTTCAAGCAGAGTTGCCGGGGAAAGGAAAAGAGTTTAGCAGGAGTTGTTACTTTCTTCGGCCAAGAACGGTAGGTTGCGGTGGTTGGAGTCACTAAACAGACGCATCAGTTCTCACTTCTCAGCCACGGGGATTTGGGGTCTCTGCTTCTGCTCATGTAAAAGTTTTTGTGCAGAGCACTGCTTAAACAAACGGGTGTTATACGATTCATCCTTAATTGTTTCAAATGCACATATCATCCCTTTCATCTGTTTCCTTTCCCTCCTAACAATAAAATGACTACTTTTTCCAGGTGCACGATTTTTCCATCTGTCATTCTTTTTATATTAGATAGATAACAGCCAGTCCACTGATCGGAATTTTTATATCCATGATCACATGAACAAAGGTTCTTTTGGCACCAGATGCCACTGCGTAATAATATTACATCACAGGTAGAACCATACAGCTTTCGTAACCATCAACGCAGCCCAGAAGTTGATATGCAATCACCAAAAATATAGCCATGTTGCTTTCATGAATTGCTGAACTGCTTGTTGCCACGTGCAACTTTATGCATCTCTAGAACACACAGAACAGGACCCTTCCAAACAGCAGCAAGAATAGGAAGCCAGGATCATCACAGGAATAACAGTCGTGTTCGATCCCCAATGCATCAACCCCAGGGTGAGATGGGAGTCTTTAATTTAACCCACATAGCCTCTCAAGGAACTTCCATTATGAACATGACCCCTGGTAGCTCCACCCCAATATTAACTAGCCCAAAATGCTAATCATATCCCTTTACCCAAACAGGCACGGAGTAAATCAAGGTACCCAAAGCAAACGATATTACTATAGTACTCGTTGCATATGCATATGCCCTCCAAGTGTGACTGCTTTGTCTCATAGCATTGAACTCAGCAATAAATGTTGACACAGTGCTTAGACAGCCTAGAAATCCAAGCTGTATACCTGTTGCAACCGTATTACATTTATCCGTATTCACCTGTATTGGACCATCCAACATCAAGAATAAAAATGCAATTGATAATCATCTTATGAGTAATATGAAGGAAATACATCACTATGAAGTGCTGAAACGTGGCAAGGAAACAAGAAAACTTCACTAACTATATGTAGATAATCCTAACTAAGACCATTTAGTAGTAGTATTGTAATAATTTTTGCTACACACACGAACTGTTAACTAAATGAAGTTGTTAATGCCCCCATCATAGAGATTGAACAAATGAAGAGACAAATGTTGAAGAAAAGATGGGGACAAAGGATGCCAGAGACAACAAAATTCATTTCTGAAACTTACCGCTTTTTTAAGTGTTGCCAGTGCAGCCATTACAGCAGCAGCAAGGATATTGGCAGCCAGAGTACCGAAAGGAACCCATCTTAATACAGGTTTTTTCCCTAAGCCACGTCCATTCAGACGAGCTAAGAACCATCTTATCCAAACACCAAATGGCCCAACAATGCAACCCAATAACAGCTCAGCGTGACTGTGGTCACTGTAGAACTGCTTCTTCGTGAAAGCTATACACACACCCCAAACAACACCAAGGATCAAAAGCAGCACCACTGTACCCGTCAAGTAGGTATTGTACTGATCCAAATCCCAAGAGTATATGGAACTGAAGAATTTCATTTCTCTAATAAACCTTTTCTTAAGCCATTTGAAACCTTTGGCAGTTTCAATCCCAAAAATGATCGAGTAAGCAGCAAGGAACAAACCTGCAAAAAGTACAATTGGCTAAATCCATGATTACCATATCCACTGACAAGAGACTCTGTAATCAAATCCAATTTCAAAAGCCCACAGAAGAACCTCAAAATTCATTTGAATCACCTTATTATACAACACCAAATGTGCTTAAACATAAAGCAGATAATGTTACCTATTAAGATGCCAAGTATTGCAAATACCCAATGACCTCGAACACTGAGATCAAGCATCTTTTGGTTCCAGCCACTGAATGTCGTAAGGCTTCCTAGAAAACCAGTTGTCAACCCAATCGCCAAATTATCTGAAACTTCAGATATGTCTCCTTTGAAAACAACGCCAAACCAACCCATCAAGAACGAACCAACCTTATGGTAAAGAAAAAAAAAAGTGTTCGAACATCATTATTCAATATCCAATTGTAAAAAAAAAAAAAAAAAGGAACTGAAGTCTAGGGCATATTAACTAGCACTCAATAATTAAAGGTATTTCACTGCTTCATAGGTTAAATATACCACTTACCATTCTTAAATAATCTGTGGCAACAAAGCAGTTTAAAAGTCAAACAATTTCAGCAATTATAATAATCCTACCACTTGATGAAGGCATCGAAATTGCTCCCTATACCCAAAACTTAATCTCTTGATTTACCTTATGCAGTATGCCTTAATAATGAAGAAATTCGTAACCATGAGCTATGTTTTTTCATGTTGCAAGAGGGATATCCTACTTTTCTACCAATCTTGGTGTTTACTTCCCATACATGCAAACTCTCAAAAACAAAATACTTTCCTTTACACTTTGCACCAGAAAAGAAAAGCCTTACCTTGCATGTT